GAAACTATAAATAAACACAAAGCGTGCATTAAAAATTGCAGAAAATCGTCATATTTAAGCTCCCTTTCGCACACAACTGTGAATTAATTATGGAGACTTCTGTGTAATTTTCTGTTAAATATATGTTTTCTGCTTTTCACTGATGCAGAACAATAAATGACTTATACTTAGTGCCCATTTTGACCGGAAATGAAATGAATGTATGGTCTCTGACCTTTGCACGGTACTGTCCTGCTTAAAAACAGCACAGACCAGCTGTTCTTAGCTGGTCTTCGCTGGTTTAGCTGGTTACCCAACCAAAACAAAATATATGCTGGTTTTGCTGGTTTTCTAGCAGGGTGTATATAACAAATTTGGTTCCACAGCAGGAAAGACAGACGTGAAACTGGTGACTCGATGAGACGGAGCATTTGTATGTGTGGTAGGTTTGTCCTCCAGGCTAAGTGTCAGTCTGTGCTGGTGTAATGGACTCTGCTCCCTTGTGCCTGGTCTTCTATAATGGTCTCTGTAATGTGATGATATCCTCATCATTCCTGCCCGCATCCATCTGCGCTATCAGCGTAATGATCCCGGCCTCAGATACACAGATTCGCCCTAATGGCCTCACAGTGGTCTCCACAGGCTCAAACGGTGGGTGTTATCTGCAGTTTAATCTGATCCCAGACTGCATTTGTGGCTTTGTTATGCTCTTTACGGTCAGGGCTTGGATAAGATTAGATGGACACTTCAGCCAAAAGCCAAAGGAGCTAACTTGGCTAACAATGAATAGAACTAGTTATGAGTTAACATCAGGGACATCACTGGAGGTTTATGGATAGGGGGCTATGTCTGTACTATGGGGGTCTGGGGGCATGATCCCAAGAAGAATTTTTTAATGGCCCTCAAAATGTCTGTCCATCGTGCACTTTTATAATCAGAAAATCGATCAAAAATGGCTTTTTGGTCAAACTGACACACAGTAGGTCTGTCTCTTTGTAGTTTGCATTAAGCACAGAGCCAAACTGACTTAAATATGATATCCAACCACTCATAACAAAGGTACTAAAATTGATCAATGCCATCTCCTCATTCTTAGATAAACTAAAAGGGCCTAAATATATTATTCAAACACACAGATTACAGATCAGTTCAGTCTCAGCTGGTTCAGTCAGAAAGGGTGTGACTTTGCACTGTTGGCATGTTTAATAAGCCAGATGACAGCAATTCATGGTCATAAGGACAAAAAGTATATTTCTAGTTCAATTAAATTCAGCATTAATTTTAACTAAAAGCTTAAACAACTCTCCATCACTTTCTCTTAATCACTAACCTCCATCAGATCTGCTCCTTCAGCCCTGTCAGTCTCCTTCAGCTTCTTTCGCTCCCTCCCCTCACCTGTGTTTAGTAATACATTGTTTTCATTAAAGTCAGATTTACGAGAACTCCAGGAAATAATGAGCGATCAATATTCTTTGTTTTAGCTGGTAAAAATCTTCTCATCTGACTGGCCTTCGACAGAGCTGCAGCCTCTTAGTTTCCATTACATTAATCTACTATTTAAGCAGTGGAACCCGAGACGGAGCGTGTTATCGCGAAATAACATCACGGCTGTGATTTGGTCACCGTAGATCATCACAGCCGTGATGTTATACGTGATAACACACTCCTCGAGTGTTCTATTGCTTTTATACAACAGTTAAATAAATAAAGTAATAAATTAATAAACTGGGCCGTGAACGCGGCGCTTAATATGCTTTAATGTTCGCAGTTCCTTCACCAAATTATAGTTCCTTAACGAGCAGCTTGTTGCTACGTCAGAGTAACGAGCTCCGCCCACTCGCTGTACAGCCGGCAGTTCGTTCTCCAGCTCCTTACACTAAATTCCCAAACTGTCATCACCACTGAGCAGCTTTTTTGTTTTTTATTGTGGCAGTTTTATGGCTCAGTCCGATTTGGTCAGACTCTGAAGATCAGACTACACGTTTGGCGAATGGTATTGGGTTCATTTCTGGCTGATTCCAGGTTGTTTAGCTGTTCTTCTGTCACAGCTGCCGACTGAAAAGCTGCTCAGTGGTGATGACAGTTTGGGAATTTAGTGTCGTCTCATCTTCAGAGTCTGACCAAATCGGCTGTCGGTCAAATGTGATCTTAAAAGTGTCCGTTTTCTGTTTGTGGCAAAGTAAGAAGTAAAAACGCTCACACGTCTTGAGCGTCTCCTACAGCTGGCAAAGTCGTTGCTTAGCAACGGCGTCTCAGCGGAGTGATACAGTGTTTGTGAAAAACCCGTGATGTTATGGTGAAATAACAGCGCGGTTAGAACGCCTCTCAACCAATCAGCTCGCGTGGCCGGAACTAACCGGTGTATAATAACAACTATACAGCTATAGCAAAAACCTGTGTCATTGTTCTCAAATAAGGTAACGAATAAAAACAGAAAACCAAAAATATAGAACTGTCAATATTGTCATTTCCACCTGTGTTGCTCTTCTCACTCTCACTTTAAAGTGTTGTCTTCAAATTCTTAAACTAGTTGGTTCGTTAGCTAACTGGCTAATGCTACCGTTAGCCTAACCGCTATAACCGTAAACTCAGTTAGCCAGCTAGCTAACAAACAACCGAGTACAAACCTGACGGCCAGGTCAGTTATACTGACCATAATGTGCCACGAATCCACACTGTACTTGGGTATCTTCACTCTGTAACTACTTGGCTACTGTTTCACTCTGTGTATTATGGATTTCGAATAAGTTATAATGTTTATTTTATTGAGATTTTAGCCAAAATCCTGTCTGCAGCTTTAACGGTTGCCGACGTTAATTTGCAGAACGACCGGCCTGATATGATTGGCTTAAAACTTACAATGTCTGATATGATTGGCTTAAAACTTACAAGGTCTGATATGATTGGCTCACAACCGAAGAGGTCTGATATGATTGGCTTACAACTTACAAGGTCTGATGTGATTGGCTCACAACCGAAGAGGTCTGATATGATTGGCCGAGCCACGAGTTCAAATTTCACCTAACGTTAGTATAAACGTAGTAGCTCAGCAGAGGCAGCTGCATTAGAGCTGCAGCAGCAGCCCTTCCCTCAGGCTGCGCCTTGGTATTACAGTATATTGTGAAGTTACGAAGCTGGAGACGTTGAATAATAAAGAACAAGTGAAAATAAACCAGATCATTTTAACTATTAATGAACATTTATTTGGGAAGTGGATGATTAACATGATTTATTTGTACAGTGCTAACTGGCTACCAGCCTTTGTTCATTATTTGGACTAGAAACTATTCCTTTGAAAGGGAATTCTACGAATTTTTCTGCATAATTCAATTATTAAGATGTAAACAAAGTCAGTGCGGTTTGGTGTGAAATGCACTGTTCTAGAGAAACTTACTGAGTCAGTACGTTTTTCACAGTGGCGGTGATAGGAACCGACGTCCACCTCTAAAAGTTCCCTCACAGAAAGTTATTACGTTAAATTGTTATGAATACACTGCCTGATATCTGAGAAATGATTTTATGATAGCTTTGAGGTAAGGTCTTGGCTTAAAATGTATAAAATTGGTTTGAGTGGTTTGATATAAAATGGTTATTTTGCAGAGAAACTTGGAGACTCATATTTCTTCACAGTGGTGGTGATGTATCACCACGTCTACAACACAAATATAGCCATTTTATTTACTATCCAAAACCACCAGTGAACCTACACGTGTCTTCTGAGTCTTATATGTAATGCTGTAATGGTAAAATAGTGGAAAATAAATTTTCTCTGGGGACTATTTTGCCTCAGATGACCCTTCATGTATTCCTCCACCATTAATTGATGAAAATAAATTCATTAAAATACATTTCAGACAAAAGCTTTATTATAAAACTACTATAAAAATGTTTCACACGTCAGGTTGCGTATTCATAACAATTTCATGTAATAACTTTCTGTGGTGGAGCTTTTAGAGGTGGACATCTGGTTCCTATCACCACCACTGTAAACCATTCTGACTCAGTAAGTTTCACTAGAACAGAGCATTTCACACCAAACCACTCTGAATAACTTTGTTTACATCTTAATCATTTAATTATGCAGATTTTTTTCAAAAATCGGTGCAGTTCTCCTTCATTCAAGCGTCTGCATTTTCAGCGCTTCTTCGTGGCCGCCAGTAGAGGGCGGCAGAATACAAATAAAGATACAGCGCACACAGTCCGCCGGCTTTGATCAGGTGTGATGAGATTCCGCAGCTTCTGAACGCACAACATTAAACAGAATATGATTATTAGAAAACGGTTTTACATGCTTTCTATTGAATTCCTATCCAAATAAATATTATTATTATTATTATTATTATTATTATTATTATAAGTATTCTGTTTTTCTTCCAAACAAGTTGAATAATTGTTCAACTGATGATTTGAAATGTAATGTGACATTTACCAAAAATAAATAAATAAATAAATAAATAAATACTCTGCATGCAAAATGTCTTTTATTCTTTTATTTTTTTATTTATAGTGCTTATACTGAATGAAAAGCTGTCATTTTCACAACTTTGCTGAGCTTAGAGAAACAACATATAATAACCTGACAGAGCACAACGTATATCATTTCTTTTTTATGATCAATTTTTTAAAAAAATATATTGTAAGAGATCATTCATCACAGGACGACATACATTGCCAGGATCTGAGGGGGAGAAAAGAAAGGAAAAGAAGAAGGAGGTGCAGATATAATTCAATATTTTATAAAAGTAAAGTCAAATAAATAGATAAATAAATAAATAAATAAATAGACCGAAATTACCTATTATTTTCCTGTAGAACCTGCTAAAGCAGTAATTTATATCATTTCACAGTTCATTTTTAAACGCGTCACAATTTTACAGCGCGTTTTCCGTAAAATAGTCAAATAAGTGGGAGGGGCCTGGAGGCGTGACATACGAGAGGGCGGGGCGTGACCACCATCACCTAGGAACCAGCAGCGAACGTAAAGGCACCGAAAGGGTCGTAAAGGACGAGAGCGGAGCGGAGGAGTGTGAGTGAGGAGGTGGGGGGGGATTTTTTTTTTCTTCTCGCGCAGCTGCTCGAGGAAGATTGAACTCGGATTAGAGAGGAAACAGCCTCCGCTCGACCGGCCTGAGGAGTGAAAACAGTGGGGAATAAAGAAGAAAAGGAACTGCACTGAGCCGAGGGGCGGACACGTCGACCTGCAGAAAGAGAAAGAAGGAAAGGAAGGAAGGAGTTGAGAGAAGAGAGGATAGAAGAGAGGAGAGGAGAGCGAATGTTTGTTCTTCGGGCTGACAGCGGCGGAGTTTTCCCACTCAGACTCGGTGTGTATCGGCAGTTTTTGGGGCTCGTATTCATTTCATATAAACCTTCTGCTCCGCGTTTACTGCTGTATATACAGTTTAAGGCGCTCCTAATGTACGAATGGACCGGTTTCAGGTCGCTAATGTGAAAACAAAACGTCTTTTTCCAGCAGAGTTCAAGTTAAATGTTTAACTTTTGTCGTAACGTTAAATCCCCCCTCGTATTTCTGCGAGTTGACCGTTTTTACCGTTAGCGTCAACTTACCTACCGTAGCTCGGTGCTGCTGACTTTTCGCTGTTTCTCCTGTGTTGTTTTTAGCACTTTTTCGCCTATTTTCTCGTCGGAATCTAGTTTTTAAAGTTGCTATACTTCTTTTTTTATACTATTTACCTCAGTTTCTGTCAGTTTGTGAGCTGGTTTTGCTCACCGAAGGTCTATTTTCTTTAGCGTTTACCGGTAACGGTAACTCCGAACGGATTGGTGTTTATTCGTTTATTTATGAAAGAAAAGGCGGTTAAAATGTTGGTTCTTAAGCTAAAAGTGTTGTTTTAAGGTAAAAGTGTTGGTTCTTAAATGAAATAATGTCTCAAAGAGGAGTAAAAGTACCTACAAAGAAGTATTAGGTCCAAAAAAACTCCTCCACTCCGGTACCGAATTCCCTGTAGGACTCTAGTGGAGCTGAATTTGGCTTCTTTTTCGAATTTTCCGTTCCACCTTAAATGGTGCAGTTAATGCTGCGCCGTTTAAGGTGGATCGGAAAATTCGAAAAAGAAGCCAAATTCAGCCTCGCAGTTTTTTTAGTGTGACAAGTATATTTTTAGTATTTCAGCCTCGGAACTGACATTATTCGGGCTCTGTTATTGCCTGTTTGGTATTGTTTTATTCTGAAATAAAATGCTGAAACTCAAAAGTAAGATGTGTGAGCAACAGCAACAGCCTAAACAAGAAATAACTACATTATTTGGACTAAAGTAGAACTCAGGACAACGTATTTTTACTTTTTCACAATAATACATGAGCAGAAGTAAATGTATTGTAGTTGAAAATACTTAGAAAGTATAAATCAGCCAAAAGTAGCACATGGAAGTGAGTAAATGCAATTAGACAGGCCTGCCTTGTGTCCTAGAGGTGGGCGATATATGGCATAAATATAATATTGTGATATTTCAAGATACACAATATATCACGATATTGTTCTTTCAGAAATCTCAACAGCTGGAAGAAAGAAAACAGAACCAGTAGAGCTACATAAAAAAAAATAAACTAATAAAAACTGAACACAATGATTTGTATTCAATATTGGGCACACTATCGAACTAAATCCAGTTAAACTGGACTAATCTTGCTCTCTTTATAATGAAACATACACTTGGTCAGTGTTCAACACAGCATGTTGTATTGTGACAAATTTTTTTTACAATAACAATATATATATTGTCACATTTCTCAGCAGTACGCCAGCCTGACCATGTCCCTGATTATGGTGATAATAATTAAACTTTGAGTCATAATTTGGACCATTCTGTATGACGGAGAGTTTGGTTCTCACCCTAATCTGCTACAGCCGCTCTAACTAACGCATGTCTTCAGACGTGCTTTCTAGGCTGGATCAGTTGCAGTAGTGTTTGGTGAATAAGGATGTCGTCCAGCTTGTTAGATGTGGTTTGAAACGAAATTCTGCACGATCATTGCTGCGGTAGAGCACGTCCTTCTGTTCTACGAGTCACTGAGACTTCCTCTGTCGACTAGTCAAAGACTGAGGAACGTAGATGAAAAATATGTGAATATATAAGGTGACAGATGATGCAGTAGCTTATACAGCCAAATTAACCAGATTAATGTAAATCAGACTATGGAAAAGGTTGCTTCTTTAGAGTTGGAGGCAATGTTGTGGGATTTGTAAGGTCATATTTTCTCGTAGTCCTAATCCTAGATCACAGATTTTCACTTCTAAGTCTTTTTTTTTAATACGTGCACATCTTGCTCTGTCCCTTTTGTTGTTGCCGTAAACCTGCAGCTTCCTTTGGGATTAATAAAGTTTCCGTCCGGCGTTTGTTGTAGCTAGATATGGCCTTTCCGTATGGATCGGTATCAGGCCGATCGCAGCCAAAAATACTGGATTGGACATCGAAAGGAAAAAAGAATCCGTTCCAGACGCGTCCGGAGCTGATCTGTCCTGAAACAGCACCCACTCTTACTGTAATATGGTGATACAGTAATCTGTGTATTTCTTCCTTTGTGGTTCTACAGTGTTGGAGTAGTTTCAGCATAATCAGCTATTTTTAGACCGCGTTTACACCTGGTCATTTCAAGCATCTGGCGTATGCGAATTATATCCAGGTAGAGATAATCCAGGTGCAAACGCACCAAGACGTATTCAAAGCAGAAGCACAGCCAGCTGGTAGTTGTGAGTAGCTGTATCTGATTTGCATATTGTGCCCATAGCAATCGGATTGCAGTCTGATTAGCTGGTGATGCATTTGGCTTTTGCTTTGTGGTTTTTCAAAATTTCCGCATAATTCTTTTGTCAAGATGTGAAATGCTTCATTCCCGAGAAACATAATCAGAATTGTTCACAGTGGTGGTGATAGGAACCAGACGTCTGAAGAGACGTCTAGACGTTTAATGCCTCTAAAAGCTCCCTCACAGTAATAGTTCTGAATACACTGTCTGAAGGCCCAGACCTCCTTAAATGATAGTTTTAAGGAAAGTTTCTGGCTTGAAAAATAATTTTTAAAATCTATTCATGGTCAAGGTTCATGCCGGAATTTCTACGGCAAAATAGCACCCAAGGAAAACACTTGTTTCTACTATTTTATCATTATCGGCATTATGTGTAAAAGTTCAGACAAGACGTACAGGTTCACTGGAAAACGACGGTTTTCCAGAACGAGCCATTTAACATCAGACTACTCTACACAACTTTACGTCTCAGCAGCCGAGTTTTGCAGAAATGTTGAAAAATCAGTGAAACTCCCATTTATGTAGCTTTGGTGTTTTGAAAGAGGAAATATCAGATCGGTAACAGCCGGCACTCAAGGCTTCAATATGAGTAAAGCTGTTTTGTGCTGTCTCTAATTGTAGCCTTTAGTCTCCAGCCCAGTCTACAGTTTCCCATTTCAGATCCTGGCACATTTCTTCATTTTCCCTGCTTTGACGCACCTGACTGCACTCAACAGCTCATTACGAGACACTTTATGAGGTAAAAATGATGAATTAAAGCAGGGAAAGCAGTGAAATGTGTAGTGCAGAGGCGCTCCAGGAGCAGGATTGGGAAATACTGCACCAGCCAGCTATATTTTACGTATTAGATCCGCCTGACGGACAGTGAGTTGGGGTCATGCTCTGGCCTACATACAGACGCATTGTTTGAATTGAGAGCGCTCGGTGGAAGGAGCTCGAAAGTTTTCTTGGAAGTCATAACTCAGCCTGCTGCACGTACAGAGCGGAGGGAAAGTAACTTCAGAAAGCAGTGTAATCATTTCTCAGCTGAGGGAGATGAATCGCTCTGCTAGCTCTGTTTCACTTAAGACCTAAGAGGGGAAAAACACCAGGATGGTGTGCTGAGTTGTTTGGGGTTAAGCCAATTCAGTGGACGTTAATTGTTAGTCCTGCTTCTGCCTAAATGCCCCAGCCATGGACAATAGAGAATAGTCTGTTCTCCTGGTTGCTGACTGTTGTACTGGCAGCGTAATGCCGGTGTGATCAAACATTATTGACTGGAGCAGTCAATAACCACGACAGCTGCGGTTTTTCATTTTCGGCCCAAACTCCAGAGGAGCCTAGCGCAACTCGAGGCGATGCGAAACGCAATAAATGTTCAGCCACTTAAAACACCGTCTTTTATGTGCTACAGCGGAATAATTCTTACGGGAGCATGACTCTGGAAATCGCATTAAGGAGTTGTTTTATTCATGTTCTCCAGTCATTATGCTTACACAGGGGCTCCTTTTTGCTATGCTCTAATAAGTGATGGCTTTAAAAAAAGAAAATCTGTCTGATTGGGCTTGTTTTTTTTTGGTTTCTTTCGGAATTTCCCTTCATTTCGGCTTCTGAAGAGCGCTCCGTACTGGAGTTTTCTCTCGCGGAACGGGAGATCTCGGTGGAGTTTTGCAATGAGGACAGTAAAATGTTGGGCACACAAGTTTTCCGGCGCTGTATCTTCTCTACAGGCTGTGTCGAGAATCGTGTAGCCTACTTCGGGCTTTTAAAGTTTGGGCTCAGACTTTGTTGTCCGTGTTGGTGCCCAGTTTTCGTCTGGAGCATCTGAAACTCTGATGAGTCATCCTCAAAGCTGTCACCATCTGCCAAACTTCAGTGCTTTAAACACCACACACGCGTCTTACACCTTTGATAGAAGTCCTAACTGTCTGTTCTCTACCTGCAGTGAACGTCTACAAGGAGAGTGAGCTTATTATGTGGTGTTAGTGAAGAGTGCTTTCCATTTTGTTCAAAGGGAAGAGCTTTACTGTTTGAGTTCTCTTCCTCCACTGTATTAGACTTTCTTTTATCGCTCATAAACCTCTGAGGATGAAGAGGAATAGCAGTGTAGTACAGCTTAAAAGCCCATTCTAGTCTTCCTGTTGAGTTGTTCCAACGATTAATGGTGCACTTGGCCAACCCAAGGTGTAGTCATCAGTCGCAGTTTAGTTAGTTTGCATATTTTTGTGGCTTAAAATTTAAAGGTTGTTGATTTCAAAAGTTGCGCATAGTCAAGTCACTAAGATGGAAACAAAGTCCAGAGTAGTTTGATGTGAAATGTTGCGTTCCGAGCCAGAATCGCTCACAGGGATGGTGACGGGAACCAGACGTTTGAAGAGTTTAATGCCTCTAAAAGCTCCCTCACGGAGGTTTATTACATGAAGGGGTTATGAATATGCCGCCTAATGCCTGAGACATTATTTTTCACATGATATTATACAGGGTGATTCAAAAAGATTCATCCAATTTCAAAATGATTCATTTCACTTGTAAATCATTACAGAACAATGCAGTAAACTGTAAATGGTTTAAATGAGCA